GCCTATTTATAAACATTTAACAGTATGTATAGGCACGCCCACACACCTACGCACTCACTCACATACGCACTCAAATAGGAATGCGGGTGAATATTCGCGGACTGCATATCCGCTTGTGGTGCACCGCAAACGCTGTGGCCAATCTCCTGTCTCGCGCCCCCCGCCCCACAACCCTTGTCCCTGGCAGTCAATGCTCGACTGACAAGTGTCGGTCGATTGCCTTTTTCGCTTTGCTAGCCAACAAAATAAAAATAAAATGGAGAGAGAGAAAAAAATTGCTCAAATTTATCAAATACCTTACTACCGCACTGCTCTCATGGAATACTCTTCTCCTCTCTCTCTCTCTCACTCTCACTCTCGCTCTCGCTCTTCCACACTATCTTAAATTATTTTTAAAGCATGCTTTTAAAGTACTCTACAAGCTAAGTTTAACACACATACATATGTATACATATATGCATATATGCATTCATATACGTGCCTCTCCTCTCTCTTATTATCCGCTTGCTTACACAGTTTACATGCTTAAGATTCTCTTCATTCCAATCGCACACATACATATATATACATACCTATATACATACATATATACGCATGTTACTATTAGCATGCTCACTTCATTTATTAACCGTAGTTTTTCACTTTATGCTTTACGTGCGTCGTCCGCATGGCTGACAAAAGGAGAAGACACTCTCACGTTTTCTGACTTAGAAGAAGAGTGCCTGTTAGAGAAAATGCGATTGCTATAAAATAAGAATAAACTATAATTTTTGAACTATAGTATTCAACACTTCGTTCATTAAGTTTTAAATGTATTAAAAAACTCATATTACTTTAAAATACAGTCATTTCGCAATCTTTTCTTCACCGCAACAACACTCGTGCAACGATCAAAAAGTTATGTAGGGGGGACAAAGCAAGGACGAAATGCCGCCATAGCGGCATCCCACTCCCTCACAAGCTCACTCAAAGGCGCAACCAACAATGCTAAGGACGCCACAAGTATGCAAATCTTGCGACTGCAAATTAACTTGAGTTTTTAATTTTGCTTAACTTTTGCAAGTATGTTTATAAATGATATTAACACTCGTATATTTCGTGTTTCATTTTACGCAACACACAAATTTCACATTAATGCACTATTGAATCGATTAATATCGAAGAAAATGAAGAACGCACTAAACACAGCTCAGGAGAAACGAAACTTATTCATCGCGTGGTGTTACTTTACAGTTAAGCAAATCACAACCTTACAGATCTGAACGCATGTGTTTGTTGGGTGTGTGCAAACTCACGCGTGTCAAATGAAAGGGCAAAGGTTAACCCAGACCGTGGTTAAGTATACGCACCATTGACGCGCGCAGAGTATCGCCTTTGATGGGCGGCTAATTAGCGTCAAGTCGCTGGAAATTGCTTGCTAATTGGAACATACAAATTTAATTTTGACTCAAGCCTAAACCAATTATCACAATTATTATGCTACAATAGATATCGTTGCATGTCTCAGCCCAATCAGCAAATATCGATAGTCTGCGAACTTAATGGCAGATTGCAAATGGGAGAGAAAAAGATGTTACACTCAGCTAATTATTTATATTAATCAATATATATAATCATATGAATATAGTATTTTTTAACGAGTTTCTTACGAACGCAATCTTCTCTCTCTTCAAATACTCTGAGGTAATTATTTAAATATTTAAAATTTATCTTAATCGTACAAAGGAAATATACTACGCAATAGCAAAATAAAAAGCAATTGCTTTTTTTTCTATGGAAATTCAATTACTTAATTTTTTGCGCACCCCTTTCCACACATACAGACAAACACACACATATGCGAGCGCCATCTGCCAGCCACAAAACAAACATGCAGTCCACACACATACACACACACACCCGCGCAGCGAGATAAGAGAAGAATATGGACGTGCATAGCGGCGCCACCTGTCAGCTCTTCTTAGCACCAGGCATTTGCCAACAAATTCGCGCACACGCCCACCCGCCTCCAGCGCTAAATTACAACACAGAAATGTTCGCAATGTGTGTGCAAGTGCCTGGCACACACTAAAACACAGTTGGCACAATGAAAGAAGAAAACAGAGTAGAAGAGTGCAAAAACTGGAGTCCAAAAAGCACATAGATCCCATCTACCGACCGCTTGCACTCCGCACACATTTGCGGCTCTCCTTGCATGAGTGCGCAACCTTTCTTGCAAGTTGCCAAAAATGTGCTGCCTTTTCATGCTGCTTTGCTCTTCACTGCCATCTGTGGATACCCTGTAAAATAAATATAAAGAGTAGTATAAGCTTAACTGCGTAAGCATATTATTCTTTTGAATATATATATGTATATTTTTTATATGTATATTTTTAGTTATTAACATTTATGAACAAATTCTGATCGAAAGTTTTATTTTGTTAGCATTAGTTCGTGACACGGTGCAATCTCTGTTGAATATGCTTGCGTTTCTCTTCTAGCTCCGCTCTCTGGCTCTCTTTTGTGCACATTGCTTTTTGTTCGCGCGGCTGATGCAAGAGAAATGCGAGCGTGAGAGCGCCAAAGAACCAGAAGACAGGCATATAGAAATAGAGAAAAGAGCGGCGAATGCAGCGCGTGAGCGAGACAGCGATAGCTGACGCGCTTTTTAGCTTTTAGTTAAATAGATTTTTATTTGGATTTCTGCTGTCTGCATGAGTGTGCACATGCGATATTGTGTGAGTGTCAATGTGTGTGTGAGAGTGTGTGTGCAAGAGTGTTAGGTGCTTCTATTTGCTGGACGTACTGCTGATTGGCAATGTGTTAGCCGAATGAAACGAAAAGAAAGATGAACAAAAATAATAGCAGACGTCTTCGACAATCGCTGAAATTGAAAAACTTCGCAGAGCAACGCCCAGACCAAATAACTTAGCTAATTGTATTGGCTAGCCCATTTTCAGGCTTTACATTTACGGTTCAGCTAACGAGTAAATGCTACTCAATGTGCTATCCATAGACAAAATGCATTAAAGAGTCTTAATCAAATAAAAGTCGAAAAAAAAAAAAATTTAAATAAAAAAAAATTAAATATTTTGAATTAAAATATTTTAAATTTAATAAAAAGTAAGTTTTCAGTATACATGATGACCAAATTATATTTGTTTTTCTTTATGTTTATTTAATTATTTAAAATTATTTTTATATACATATTTTATATACTATTTATTAATCCTTCATTTCTTAACCTTTTTTTTTTGTAAAGGTCCCAAAAAGTACGCTAAGCGTGGAAGCCACAACTAAATTGTATCATATAAATACATATCAAAATAATACCCTAATAAAAAATTGTATTTCATTTGATGTGCCCAAAAAGTAACAATATGCTTTATCTAATTTTACATAAACAACAAAATATTTGTATATAAATACGAAACGAAAAGAAAGAAAAACAGACTAAGCGAAGTTTTCCCTGCCTTTTGTTTCACTTCCCCAGCAGGACGCCAAAGAAAAAAAAAAAAACGTAATTATGTTGTATTTATTACGCGAAATAAACCTCCTGTTGCCTTTCATGATAATTACGCAGCCAAGCACAATAAAAAACAACAACAGCAACAAGAAATAACCGCAACTACTTAGCAACATTATACACTTCCGTGCAGCTTCCCAAAAAGGAAAAAAAAAAAAGAGAATAGCACTGGCCGAAACGTAATTATTGTTGCGGTAAATGCCACGCCCCGCGCGGCTCTAGTACCTGCCGCCGCCCATGCACCAGTCTCCCTCTCCCATGTTTCTCTCTTCCTCTCTGCTCTAGCCACTGTTGCTGTCCCTCTTCCACCCACTCGCAACCACAGGCCGTGCTTTTTAATTTCTTTATAAAAATTACAAGCGAGAGAGAGAGAGGGAGAGACTTATAGAGTGAGTGTGTGGGAGCGAGTGAGTGCGACATATATATGACAACGTGCCGCGAAAATTAATCCATTTGCTGTGACAATGACTTTTATGCGGTTTTGCAGCAACACGGCCGCCATCCGGAATCCCGGACTCGGGCGCTCGCTCGTTCGACGCCCCAGCCAGGAAGCCGGACAGTTGCAAAAAGTCAAGCCGCAAGCCAAATGCGGGCGCATAGAGGCCACCAAATAAAACAAGAAAAAAAGAAGAAGAAAAACGAAAGAAAAAAAAAACAAAGTTGTTTTCGCTTAACAATGCCGCGACATGTAAATATTTGGTGACATTTATAAAAAAAAAAAAGAAGAAGAAGAAAAGCTCCCCATCGGTGCTGGCGCCCGTGTCCGTGTCCGGGTCCGGGTCCGAGTCCGGCGTGTCCTTATCAAAGCAATTATCTCTAAGATGGCGTCGTCCGCTGCAAAGTATTTTGGCTCTTCACAGTCTTTGTTTTGCCAGTTGGAAAACGTAACGGAGACAAAGTATACAGCATTTCTCTTGATTTTCATTCTCTTGCCCAAATTCCAAATTGTCAATGTGATGGTCAATTTGTGGCCAGCAGCGAGGAGTGTAAAAATGTCCAGAGGGTGGAAGCGAGGTGTCTCGGAGCTACGAAAAATACTTGTGGTCCAAATAAAACGCAGCTGATTAGAGCAGAAAACTGAAGACCTAACTGAGCTTGCAAGATTAATATAAGTTTGAGTAGATAACTGAGCATGAGATAATGTTTTCAGCAGAGATTTGAAAGGGGCAATATCTTTATGGAAGAGCTGGAATGTTTAATAATTAATAACAGTAATTATAATATGGGAGAACAAATTATTTCTTGGGAACATGAAGTCTTTCCCTGGAACTTGGTTTTTCAATATAATAAACTACATATATTTAATGTAAAATAGCTAAATTTATATATTATTAAATATTTATTTCTTGAAATTTAAATTTAAATTGCGTAAAAAACATATATGCTTATAAATCCTACTTTCTCAAATTATGATATATAGTAACAAAAAAAAAAAAAAAAAAATAAATAAAAATAAAATAGAAATGAATAAATAAAACCAAAAAATAATTTTTTTTTTTAAATTCGTCACATTTAATTCGTACACTTACAAATAGAATATATCAAATAGTTTACACACATATATATATACACATCTTAAAGTAGACATCTTCAGAGATCTGAAACTCAGCCCATGATATTTTGCTTAATGCTGGCCCAGAAGCCTTGTCCTCGCTTGGGCATTAGCTCGTGTTCGATTTGCTTATTGTACTGCTCCCGCAGCAGCGGATCGGAGGGTCCCCAGTTCTTCTTGGGCCTGAAGGCGCCGCAGATCTTCTCGCCCAGCGTATTGCCAGGCTCCCGAATGATGGCGACGAGCATCCAAAGTGGCAGCTGTATAACGCCAAAGGCTGTGATGGACCAGCCAATGCCTGAGAGACAGAAGAGAGGAAGGAAGGAGATGATGATGAATTGAATATTAGTTATTGAGGCAATTATCTGAGGACTTACCATAAGCCCAGGCTGGATACGCTTGATTATTGTAGATGAGCGGCTCATAGGTCGCATAGAAGTAGATCAGAATAATGGTCATGATGAGTGGGGTAAAGATGCCCCAGCATAGCCGCCAATAGAGTCCAACCTTTCTGCCCAGCATGAACTCAATGTCCTTGCACAAACGATCCGTGCCATAGATCCAGCCAATCGTATAGAGCTCTGCAATGCCCAGCACCAAGGCGATCATTGAAGCGCCAAAGAAGTCCACCAATGTGAGCATATACTGACCGCCCTGTAGAGAAGGAATTGATATAAATTAAAAAAATAAAAATTAAAAATAAATAATATATAGAAAAATAAAATATGGAAAAATTATATATATGAATTTAATATATGAAAAAAAAAATTATAAATTATATATAGAAATTATATATAAATTATATATAGAAATTTAATATATAAATAAAAATAAATATATAAATATAAAAATACAAAAAATATTATACAATTATTTTCTTTACATATTAAAAAAAAAATATATATATATGTATATATAAATTAGGATATAGAATATCTTTATATACAAAATGAATAGAAAAATTTATATGTAAATTCCATGTCTTACCGGTGTTATGTACATCAGTCCAATGAAGAAGCTGACGACGGCTATGAGCAGCGAGCATTGCCACTGCTTGAAGTTGGGAAAACGATCGCGAATGGCGGTCACTGTACAGGATGTCATCGCTATGTTCGAGCCGATGCCCAGCACGAAGAGCATGAGGAAGAAGAGCACGGAGAAGATTTGCGGCAGCTGCTTGAACTTGGCTATGGCATCCGGATAGGAAATGAAGGCCAAGCCGGCGCCACCTTTGACCACCTTGCCAATGTCATCGGTGCCAATTTCGTGGGCCAAGTGGCCCAGAATGCCAAAGATCGTGAAGCCCGCCAGGAGCGAGGTGGCTGTGTCCAAGGCGGTCACAATGGTCGCATCCCGGTGCACATTGTGACCGAATTTATTGTACGACGCGTACATGATGATGTTGCCAAAGCAAACGGACAGCGAGTAGAAGCACTGGGTGACCGCCGCGTACCACACCTTCGGATCCAGGATCTTGCCCCAATTGGGCTTGATGAAGTAGTAGATGCCGTCCAGCGAGCCGGGCAGGGTGACGGCGCGTATCAGCAGGACGCCCATGATGACGTACGGGAAGAGGGCCAGGAAATAGGACGCCTTGCCGGAGCTCTTCACGCCGCGTCGTATGATCAGAAAGACGCACAGCCAGGACACGAACAGGCCAATGACCAGGTCCCAGTTGGGCAGGCCAATGCCATCGGCTATCTGGTCCTTCTCACGCAGCACCTCCTTGCTAAGGAATTTAACGGGAAACCACATTAGATTCTGGAGCTTGAGAAACAACGGAAAAATGTCAACATGCATGGCCAACACCCCTCGGAAGACTTATGCCCATAACTAAACCCGAAGCACTTACACATAGTACAGCTCCGAGCTGGATATAATGCGATCTGTATTATTTAGTGTCCCATTCGGTTCATCGCTTGGCTCGCTGGGCGCTGCATTGATACAGTTCTTGCCCCATTCGTCACGGCACGTTGCCCATGGCAACGGACTGTGGAACGAATCGACGAAATATCGACAAAATATGGCAACCAGTGAGGCGTAGTAAGTGCTTAGCATGAACACCTGAAATGCCTGGCCGATGCCAACACCTTAATGATGATATATATTTATTGGAAAGAGTTAATCACAATTTCGATAGATGCCAGAGGTTAGGTCAGTTACATTATTATTATTATGATTATGATTTGATGATATGCTTGCGATAAATGTCGATATTAGTTGAGCGAAACAAAATGTAAATCATTCGACTTTAATTGAAAAAAAAGTTACTAAATTCTCTTAGTTGTAAGTTATAAGAAATTTGAAAATTAGGAATTAATTTAAAGAGGTCATAAGTATATCTTAATTAAAATTAAATTAAGCGTTAGCTTACGATTAATTCAATTAAAAATACAACGGGGTCAATGGACGCACTAACAAGTATTAAATCATTTTCTTGGGAGTGCCCCAATTGAAGATACTCTGAACTCTGTGACGAGCTGAAAATCTCTTTTTCTCTTTCTTTCTTCTTCTTCATAGAAAACTAGTTTAGAAAACGTATTTGTTGAATAATTCTTCGTTTAGTCTAGCTTCTGTGATTTATAAGATCGCTGTACTTATATGAACGGACATGGCTACAACTATATAAAATGTAAAGTCTACCACGCTTCTGTCCGTTTACATATTATTTTATAGAACGTATATACTCTGATATCCGCTATAAAGCCTTATAGGAGGTGGTCTATATAACTCGCTAATGAATTATGGCTGAACAGAGAGGGTATTGATCTATAAACTATATCTACTACGTAATATTTAGTACCCATATCTCATATCTCATCTCATAAATCATATCTCATATATTACATCTCATATCTCATGTCTTATATCTAATATCTCATATCTGACATATCTCATACCTGATATCAAAAATCAAATATCTAATATCTTAACATTAATCATAATTTGATTTGCATTCGAAAGATGTTGATGCACAGACGCCAGTCTTCGGTCTCTTGTCTCAACCGTTAGATTGCTAATTGAAGTGGCCTTGCAACATGTCGCCTATCGTTTGGCTGTTGCAATCGTCTAGGGGCTATTGCAGCATCCTAACCTCCAATACCGTTAATTGCTGTCAATTTAGGCGCCACAGAGGGGAACAACTCGGGTGTCATACTAGGGACTCATTCAATTAACGTCAATAAAGCGAGCATTGAACGGCCATAAACTTGAATCTGGCATTGAATGCCAGAGTGTGTGTCCTCTGTGATAAGATTACCCGAAAAGGCTGATAAAACCCAACAACCAACCAAACCAACACAGCAACAACAACAAGCCATAACAACTACTACTACAACAACACCACAAAGGTAGAAAAGCCACTTACAGAAAATACAGCTCGGCGGATGCAACGCGCTGCCGATGCGTCCCAATCATATTTAAGCTGGAGTTAGCGCCAAAGCTGGAAATGGCGCTGGAGCTGATGTTGCCCTGGCTGGAGGCCACGCAGAGCGCACCCCATTCGGCCTGGCACTCGGACCAGGGCAACGGATTACGGAACGAGTCGTAAAAATAGTTAAGTGTTATGCCCATTATGCCGACGTAGTAGGTGGTCACCAGCGATATGGATATCACCTGTCCAATGCCAACGCCTGGAGATTCGATTATGATACGATAATGGTAAAAATATTATGTATATGATATATGGATTATGAATGAAAATTGGGAATAGCTGTGCATTACGAGAGAGAGAGATAGATAGAGAGAGAGAGAGAGAGAGAGAGAGAGAGAGAGAGAGAGAGAGAGAGCGAGAGAGAGAGACAGAGAGAGAGAGAGAGAGAATCTTCTGATAGGCAACGGATACTGAAAAGTTAGTAGTCTATGGAATGGGAAGATAGAGAAGGAGTCTACATGTTCGACGAACAGTTTATAAAAGTACATATATATATTTTTTAAATCATCCTATATCGAGCAATTATATATGAAAGTAGTAGGAAATTGGTTTATTATTGAAACTATTTGTTCCTTTCATTTTGATAAACGACAATATATTCTCTATATGAAATGCACAGCTATTCCTAATAAATATTACCATATTCGGATGCTATTCTTATGCACTTGCAGCTTGTAGGAATATAGTTGATACGTTTTCATATATGTTTTCATATGATTTAACAATATATTTCTAATATTTTTTCTAAATTCTGGTTATTTTTCTGTTTTTTTTTTTTTTTTTTTTTTTAAGTTTTTAAACTCCGTTAAAAAAAATTGTACTGCTATTTTTATTGCTTCTTGCTTTATTTTTATTACAATTTGTGCTTTTTGCTTTTTTGTTATTTTTGTCCACTCTATATTGTTTCATTTTTTTTATTTAAAAACATTCCTATATAAACATAGTTATACATATTAGATATACATAGTTAGCTTTAACATATTTATATAAATTGTCTAAAAAGGTAAGTTTTTAATTTTTGAACAAAATGTAAAATATTCAACAATATTTTATTTAATATTATTAATTTCAGATACGTTTTCCATTCCATTTTGTATTTAAATTTTTTTAAACAATATGAAAAAAAATAAATAAATAAATTGTTTAGCAAAAAAAAAATTCCGATAGGCTCACAAAAAATGATTGATATGTTCATTTAATTGATTTAGTTCTGCTAAAATATTTAATTTTATTGATATAAATTGATCAATTTAGACATGATCTACGCATGTTTACATATCATATTGGAATCTAAAATAAAAATATTCAACATTCCCCTTTAAATGAAAATCACAAGCAATTTAATCAAATGAAATATATATATCCAAAAACTTTCATGCCTAAACTCTTTATATCTTTCTCTCTCTAGTACATTCCACTTTTGACTGCAAGTGCATAGAGACTTCGACTTGTGGCACTTCGGGCATATAGTGCTCGCCATAATTTCGAAAGTTTTCGCTTACCTTTCATAGCCGGGCACAAATCGAATACCTTCACGGAGCCGCGACTCGAAAACTGTCCAATTACCATTTCCAGATAGTAAATCGGCTTGCCAATTAGGAATAGCACAATGAGATAGGGTATTAGAAAAGCCCCGCCCCCATTATCCAGTGCCGTGAACGGGAAGCGCCACACATTGCCCAAGCCCACAGACATTGCAATGCAGGACATCAGGAACTCCACGCCTTTGCCCCATGTAGCGCGCTCGCCCTGCCGCCCGCCCGTCGATTTGTCAGCTTCCTGTTCGTCCTCTGTTGTCGTCTCTGCTGGCAGTGACTATGCGTGTGAGTGTGTGTGTGTGGGTGGGTGCAGTGGAGTGCATGTGTGCGAATCGAGCGATTAGTTTATAGGTCATTTGAAATTTTCGGCCATAGATTTTGGTACACTTACCGACATGGCCAATGTGCTGGTGGTGCTATTGCCATCGTCGCCCACAAAGCCTGGATTTCGTTGCGACGTTTTCATTGTGAAATCTGCGCACTGGCACTGTGTGGATAGAAGAGACAACGTGAGAGTTTCAGGTGTTCTATGAGCTATGGTTGTGCAATTAACACTGACTGTTGGATTCTGATAGTGGGACAAGCCATAAAACTGACAATCAGATAAAGTAAGAGACTTTTAGACTTTTAAGATAAAAACTGAATTTGCTGGGATAGATGGATGCTTTGATCGACTAATCGATGACCTGTACCTTTGCTTCTGGAATACTTGCAAATTTTAAACTAGGTTTTTGCAAGGCCAAAAAGTTGCTTTAGACATAAGGCAGAAGACAGCCAGTTAAAGTAGAAACAGTATACCTTAATACTAAAAAATTCTATCTATCAAAAGAAGAATTTGTGAGAGATTTCATACACTTATAAGATAAGTAACATAAATGTATGTATACAAAAATCAATAGAAATAGATAGCATTAAAATTAAAATTCAAGCTCAGTTTCGTTGTATTTAAAGGTATTCCTTAATTCATTATTAATTTAATTTCATAAAATTTTATGAATGAATGTCTGCCTGTCTCTCTCTGTGTCTGTCTCTCCCATTCTTCGCCTGTTGCTCTCTCTCTATCTCTCTATCTCTCTCTCTCTTTCTCACCATATCTGCTTGTTGTTCTCTCTCTGTCTCGGTCTCTAACTCTCTCTTTCCATTGATCTCTCTGTTACTGTCTCTCTCTTTCTCTGCACCTCACAATATAATACGCATAAAAATATAAGATTATTTTCGATATTTTCTCAAGCAAAGCCCTTGCACACCCAACTTATGTTGGGTATTCAAAATGATGTCAGTTCCACGAGCTAGAATAGATTGCGACTATTTTAAGATAAAAATCGTAGACAACTTTATATTTGCGAGTCAGCCGAGCGAGTAGAGCGAGCTATACTACTTATAAGCAAAAGAGATAAACTATAAGGAATGATTATATATGTATATATTGCATTATATGTATATGTATACATATTACATATATATATATATATATATATAGACACATACAATGTGGTTTTATTGATCCATTTTGTATTGAAGCAGACCCGACTTTTACAGTTCATTTGCTTTGGGTAAGAACAATTGTTTAATGGACTCAACTAATATCCCGATAAGATAGATGTCAGGAAATGTCAAATAAAATGCAAACAAATCAAAGTAAACACAAATTAGTGCACCTATTAAAATGCAATCACAGCTGATATCTTTTAAAGATGTCTAATACTGAAATTTAGTGTATTGTACGACACGCAAACAAACGCTTACCCCGCCCCCTCCATATGCACAGATAACAATCCCCAACAAGTTTGAATAGCTGTTGTGTTTATTCAACTCCACACCGAACCCATTGGAAGTTGGTAAGCGGGGCATATTGGTTTTAGTAATGTGAATGGAACGAGTTGAAGTAGTTGAGGTCAATTTAATTAAGTTAATAAATTTATAAATGTATATTTATTTATATACTTGTTCTGAATCACTAGCTGAACCTATTCGATCAATTCCATTATATGAATGTATTTACGAACATCTCTCAGATTTCAAATGCGTGACTCTTAAATTTCGCTGCTTAGGTTCTCCCTTACATGAAGAGTAGTTCACTTTTTTGAATAACTCTCTCGATGCAAGGCATCTGCTAGTCGAGCACTACCGTCCAGAGCACCCTCACCGGCATTTTTGTACTGTTCTTGATTTAATGACATAATGAAAAAAAAAAAACATTCTCTTACTTTGTATATTTGACGATTTGTTTAAACAATTTTCACGTCGTTTCATTTATGGCGATTATAAAGCGAATACTATTAATTTTATTTTTAACAGGGTTAACAGCTGTTTGACGTGTGCCAGACCTAACGGTACTCTAGCGAATCAGAAAATGTTGTCAAGATAATAAACTGGCTTTATATAGAACAGAACATCCACTTTTATGGAACATCATTATAAGACAGGTTTTGTTATCAAGAGAAATAAGTTTACTATCTGATAATGTTATTACTGTTATATTATACTAAGAAAACTTTCCCTGAACTAAAAGTGAATAGCACTACTAAAGAGAATAGTCTTCTTTTCGCTCAAAGATTTAAGCTTCATTTATCCATAAAATGTGGCCTTGCACTTAATTCAAGCACAATTAAATATAAATTTAATTTAATATTTATAGCTCTGTGTACTTGACAAATGTTTTAATTCTAAACACAATACGAAGAGCACTTCTTAACATCTCTACCCAGTCTGAATGTCAAATAAAAATAAAATAAAAATGCAAATATAATTTCTGAGAAAGAGCGAAATTCCCACAATTTGGTATCAATTATAAATAGATCTTGCCCATTTCTTGTTGGGTCAATGCTCGGAAATTACAAAATAATTTGTATGATTATTTAATATATGTAATTTATTTAATAAGCCAATGATAGCTCACAAATTCAAGCACTGAATTAACAAATTTCTACGGCTGAACAAAAAGCAACAAATTAACAAAAGCAACAAAAAAAAAGTACCGAAAATAAGCCTCATGCTGTGTTAAAAAAACAGGTTTTTCATGCTGCTTAAGTAAAATGATCTTTCTTTTGTTTATTTTTATTTATTCATTTTATTTATTTATTTTTTTTTTTTAAAAACATAGCCAACATCAGGTGATGAGTCAACATTGTAGTTGGCTAAAAATTATGTTAAAATAATGACTGAAGTACTATGCTTCAAGAGATTCTAGAAACGATCTGACATCAGTGTTCGGCATACGAAAGCAGTTGAGAGCGGTTTCAACTAGTTATTCAGCTGAAGACTTGAAAGTTGTTTTCGGGCAACTCTTCTGGAAAACGGATACAGTCGACAAACTATAAGTATTTAAAGTTCTTCAAGTATCAATTCAACTCTTGACTATTTCATTTAATTATTCAATCAATTTTTGCTGCTCATTCAAACTCTGCTACAGCTTCATTCATTCAAATATTCCACTTCTATACATCAGCATCTTGCCTTTGTTAATGTTATTATCGATTTTTTATTTAAATTCCACTTCATATTTGACAGATACATTATTGAAGGTCTTCCCCTTTGCCAACCGCCCCACAAACCAAGTCAACTGACGCTTGCTCGTCTTATAAAGCGCCCGATATCCCATCCGCTGCATTGGTATGCAAAAACGTGTTTCATATCGTGCTTGTTACGCACCTCGCCAAAAAAAAAAAAAAAAAAAAAAAAAAAAACACACACACACACAAAAAATCGAGATACAAATACAAATATTAATGAGCCACTTGAATACATTGCGTATACGTCACAAATCAAATAGATTTAAGACAAGACAACAAACAAAAACAAGCAGGGAAAAAATTAATACAAATGTTAACTAAAAATATTAAATAAAATTGACTTGAAAGCCGAAATTCAAATACTCTTACTAAATAAAAAAAATAATAATAAATAAAAAAAAATCAATAATAATAAAGAATGAATAATGATAAAGAATAATAAGAAAGAATAAATGAATAATATAAGAAAAAAAAGGAAATACAAAAAAATTAATTACAAATAAAAAAAATTAATGTATATAAAAATTAAATATTTTATATAAAAACCAAACTTAAATCTATTTTAAATTAAATTAAAACAAAGAAGCTTACAACTTAAAAAAAATTCATATATTTATATATTAATAATATATGTATAAATATTAATAATATATTATTAATAATATATTAATAAAGTAGTTTATTATTAATTTGAATATATATATGTATGTTTACATAAATGCCTTTATATTTTAATCTCAATGTAGATGAGCTCAGGCTAATTTACATTTGCTTGGGTTTGGCTTGCCTTTATCAGAATTCATAACATTTTAAGGAAATCGTTAAAAAAAAAAAATACATAAAAATTCAGTTTTTATTTGCTTATATTTGCTTAAATTTTGCAGCTGTGACTCACAATGGAAACAAAGAACTTTTTTATTTAAAACAAAAATTGCTTCAACACATTTGAAATTTCATTTTTTACGCTTTCCGCGTTTTCATTAAATTTTAAAGCCAACAGTGAATTCTTTTTCAGGTTTATTGAATCTAGTAATATCTTTTCAAAGGGGAAGTGTAAACAGATTTAGGCAAATAGACAGTGTCAAAACATCTTCAACTTTTGATCAATATTGACCGACTGAGGTAAGGTAGCAGAAAAAGTAGTATCAGGCGAGGAGTGATAGAAGTAGTAACAGAATTACTAGGAGTGGCAATACTAGTGATAGTAATTGTAGTTACTTTAATAGTAGTTTTAGTAATAGTAGTAAAATACTAGTTCCATTTCTCTATATATCTCCCCTATAGCTACAATCCGTTGACAATTGACAACTCGCCTCACTGACGCTTCAGATTAGCCCTAACTAAAACAAGTTAATGCTCGACTTTTCTGCTGCAACAGTCAACACTGTCTGTCCCTGAGCTTCAAACGGAATACCTCTGTTTCTGTCTCTATCTCTATTTCTGTCTCTGTCTCAGTCTCAGTCTCAGCCTCAACTAGTCACGCGCTTGCGCAGCTGCGTGCTGCAATGAGCCATTGAGAACTTGCTGGGCTTTACCTGGGCTTTAACAGTTCAATGTGTAATTGATATTGTTATTGCTGTTGTTGTTGCTGCTGCAGTTGTTGCTGTTGCAGTTGTTGTTGTTGTTGTTGTTGCTTGTGTAGTGCCTGCTGCCAAAAGCTTCCGCTGCTTGACTTTTTCAGTTGTCTGCGTTTTCTTCTGCTTCTTCTTCTTCTGCAATTAAGCTTATGCTTATTTACAGTTGTTGTTGTTGCTGCTGTTGCTGTTGTAACTTTTGCTGTTGCGAGTTGTAACTGCTTTGAGCCGGTCAAAACAACAACAAAAACAAAACAAAAACCACTTGGCTTTACTCGAATTCAACTTTTAACATTTGGCCCGCGGCTTTCAAGGCTTCAACTTTAACACTCAACTGTTTCTTATATAAACTTTATATATATATTCATATATATGTATATCTTTTCTTTGTACTTATTTCGGCTAATTGCTATAATTGCTAATTATTTATTGCACTTTATGAATCACTGTTCTACTGCTTCTTCTCTTAGGTACTTCCTAGGTGGGCGATTGCAAACGCGTACGATCGAAACCGAAATTTTTGACGACAAGCAGCAGAACGAAAAACCCGTTAGTTTTTAAATTGTGCCGTTAAGTGAGACGACGATCGCTTGGGCAAAGCGCCAGCAGCCAACTGATTGAGCCAAGGCGCAGCTCGGAGGGTTTTATGGCGAACTTGACTTCAACGGCGCACAGTGGGCACAGTTGGCCGAAAATGTTGGCAAAAACTGAATTGGTTTTCATAGAAGAGGTTTTGATGTGGGTAGAAAAAAAAAAGTGGAAAAGTCAGAATAAATATACTTTAATAATTATTTATTTATTTATTAAAAAAAAAAAAGAAAAAAAAGAAAGAGAGAGTTCTCAGTGAGAGTTAACAGACGTGTTTACTATTGTGCTCTTCAATTATTCTTGTTTTCTTAGTTAATTATTTTTATTAAATTTCACATAATTGCGGTTCGGTTGTATATAGCAAATATCTATATTATCCTGTGCAAGGTTTGATCCGTTGTTCACTGCGTTTTTAATAATTTGCTTTTTTAATTTGTGAAGCTTTGTGTGCAGTGTCGGTTCATTAGTTTCATTATTTGCATTTTTGCTTTAGTGTTTCTATTTGTTGGCGCTCTCCCCAGTTCACTCTTTCTAAGTTTGTGTGAGTGTGTGCATAAGTTGCTCTCTTGAATCTTTGATTTTTGTGGTGTGCAAGTATACTCTCTCGCTGAGGACTTTTGATCTGCTCCGTAACGGCTGTTTTTGTTGTTGACTCGCTCTCTCAACATATATTTTCGTTGCGCTCTGTAACGGCTGTTTGTTGTTGGACTCGCTCTCAACACATTTATACCTCTCTTTGTTGTGACATTTCTGTTTACATTCAGTAATTTTGTGATCTATCCCGATTGCCAATATGAGTTGCTGCAAAAAAGCTTGCACTTTCAGGCAAACAGTTGATTCTGCACAAGCGCAATTTATAAGTTGCTGGCTGTGTGATAACATGATGCATACTAAGTGTGCAGGTCTTACTGGGCGTGAATATGACAAGATTATGTCTACTACTAAAGCTGGTAGTGGAGGCATACGCTGGTCTTGTCCGATTTGTTTGGAAAAACAAATAAACTTTTCTAAAATGTATAGTGCTGTGAGGTCTCAGTTTTTAAAACTGAAGAAGATTTCTATGCAGTTGACCAGTGACATGGCTGCTGCTGAGGAAATCTTATATCAGTACGGCTTTGAAAGTCCTCTCTCTCAATTGGATACTCCTTTGTTGTCGGTAACTCCTTCTGTAATAGTACCGTCACCTAATTCGCTTGCTCCTCCCTCACCTTGCGCTTCTGTTTTGTCGTCGGCTCCCAATTCTCTAGATCCTCCTTCACCTTGTCCCATATCTGTTTCTCCTATTGAGGCTTCTATTGAAACTCAAGCCCCTGTCCCAAATTTGGATGCTACTTCTATTGTTGCTCAAACAATGAGTGTCAATAAGTCAGCCTCTCATAGCATTACCTTATCTGTTGTCTCTCCTAGAAAGCAAGTTTTCTTATCTAGGCTTTCATCTGACACTACCATTGAGGCAGTATCGGCTTTTATCTCAAATAAGATTCCGGTTAATGTTTTTATATCGAAGTTTAGTTTCGCGACACCGCGTGAAATTGCTTCGTTCAAAATCAATGTGCCTGTAGAACACTTTAAAACCCTTTGTGACCCTAATTTCTGGCCACCTCATGTAGTTGTTCATGAATTTAAACCCAAAAATCGTAACAGATCGATGCCTATTTCAGTAAATTTACCTTCGGTGCAATCTTCATCAAACGTTGTACCAAAAAACTAAATTACTTACAAACCTCTTCTCAGCTGTCCCTAATAATATTTAAAAAATTTTTGGTCACAATTTTATTGAAAATCATTAAAATATACATATGTAAAAAAAAAAAAAAAAAAAAAAAAAAAACAAATAAATGAGCTAGTCTTTTATATAAGATAAACAATACATACAAAACAACTATTTCTAAGAACTTTTAATCCGAGATGGCTCATTATTATAATATCTAGAATATTTTTATAATGTCATCCATCATTAACTGAAAACACTTGATTTTCTTTTCTTTTATTTTATTTATTTATTATTTATTATTATTTTTTTTTTTTTTTTTCTCCCACTTATTTGCCGCAGTTCCGTTCCCACTGTGCTTTGCGTCGCCAAGCCTTTTTGGGTTGGCTTAAGTACTACAGGCAGAGCGAGCCACAAAATATAGGTGAAAGCTTTGTCTACAGAGCAACAGCTTATGTGGGTTTGTGACGCGACTAAACTGATCTGTTATCGAAGACAGTTTTTCGGCGGCTGTAAAATGATTATCTTAAAATGGTGGGTGACTCGGATAACTGATCTTATACTGACCTCATGCTTAGAGAGTAGTTTGAGAGCAATTGGCTTGGGTAATAAACTGAGAAAACTTATTAGATTATTATAAATATTTAAGATGTCAATAATATAATAATTAAACAAAGTTAAGTATGTGCAGAGCCAGATTTAGATTCTTAGCAAGGCTGGTTTAAGGTTTTATATCTTACAGAAAAACGAAATTGTGAAAATATGATTAGTAACTGTTGTATTTTCAAATCTATCTACATATCTATCTGAAACTTATTTTTGCTTTTGTAATATTTTTTGTTACTATCTTAAATTTTCTAAAAATTATCAAAAGTTAAGGTCAATAATTTAAAAGTAGCTTAGATTATGGAATGATTAAAAACTTTTTTTTTTTCAATTAATAAAGGCTAGAGCTTGAAGCTCTCAAATGCTTCGAATTTAATAATTGACATGCACAACAGACTCAAATCTCTCAATTTATTAATTAAATTTCTTTTCACAAATCTATCTCTGTGACTATCTCTCTATATATATATCTCTATATTTCATTAAAAGATCTCTAAAATGTCATTTGCTTTGTTTTGTCAGGTTTAGTCAACTTGGATGAAGTTTCTTGGTATTTGTTTCCTTTTGCCTTGACTTGGTTTCTGTACAAGTTGCACTTACACTTTTCTCATTAGGCACAAGCCAGTACACACATATACGCACACGCACAGGCACACACATACGCACTTTGGCACACTTGGTTTATTGTTCCAGGGACCGCAGTACAACACAAATTGTTATGATAAAAGTTTTTATCAAGTTTTCATTTTATTTTCGAAAGATGTGTTTTTTCTCTCTGTCCCACTTTTTTTTTGTCGTCTAGCAACGTTGATATAGCATATAAGATAAAGTGGCATACAGATGAGGGAGAGAGAGAGAGAGAGATTGAGAGAGTGAGAGTGTCGCCTAGACTTGAGACAAGTCAAGTAACTGGGCAGCTGAATGCAAAAACAATGCCTCGGGGGCGGCGCTGCCTCATAAAATTTTAACTACTTGCAAAAATACTGCTAACTGGTAAACTTTAAGCCAAAAATCATTAAGTCTGCAGCCTGGACAGCCACTAAAAGAGTTTCCACTTGCCAAGCTTCAAGAAATCCAGGGAGACAGAAAGAGACGGCAAGTGAGTGTAAGAAGGGGTAGTAAAAGTGTGTGAGCGAGAGAGAGGGAGAAACTTGAGCTTCACTTGTTTTTTGCCAACAAATTCGTTGCATAGCCATTTTGTGGTTCTTCCGGGCAGGATTCAGTTTCAGCAACATCCTTCAGTATATGGAACTTTGCCTCTACACGCTACTCGCTACACTCTCCACTCTACTCTATTGCTTGGCATTGTCATTATGACTGGACCTTGGAGACGCTATCAACAGAGATGACTGTGGAGATATTGCGAGACACTGAGAGGGAGGGGAGAGCGGTGTGAAGCATGTGACTGTCTGCTCTTGCGGCTCTCACAACTTTTTAATTGCAATTAAAAACTAAGCAAAAGACTTTTCAAAGCTTTCAACACGTTAGCATGGTATGAACATATAGAATATGTATATATGTATGTATGTAAGAATTGATATGCATAGAAAATACTTAGCATTGACAGAAAATCAACATTGTATTTTAATTAATTAGGAATTCTGGCAATATGAAAAGTACATTTTACATTACTTTTTTATATACATATATTATATGCATATATAATGTATGAATGTATAAAAATGTTCATGATCTAGGCGTACTATAAGCTAAATATGTAATAAAGATATATATATGATTTCTCTGTCTACATCTCTACATCTCTCCTCTGTATTTAATACGAATAATAATCCATAGATTATATGTATATATGTATATATCTATATATAATATTACTCTATCATATCTCTATAAAGTCATTTGTATCCACATATACATATAATATATATGTATAATATCCTCTTTTTTATTACTATCAACCATATTCTCTATCTAATCTCGATGTCCTCTAGGCAATGCCACAAAGAGCAGGAAAATCCCGCTTGTCCAATACCTTTTATCCAACTGCGCCAGACATGCCCAGCGCGATTTCCATTGTCTTGAGCATTTCGAGTAAAAACTCTTTCGCAGGCCTCATCTGGCTGCATTTGCGTGGATTAGAGGCCAACTTATGCCCTGGCAGGCCATGAAAATTCACAGCCAAGAGCGCCAAGAATTTTACGGCTATCCATTTCTATTCGGGCTAATCCCGGGGCCTTGGCTAAAGGCAAAAAAAAAAAAAAAAAAAAATTAAATAAATAAATAAAATAAAAATAAAGCAATTTCACTTAAATTTACGAAATACATTTAAGTGCATTTCTGACCAGTTGCTATTCAAATTTTCTTGCAGCTGCAGCCTCCATTCACCGACTTTTTGTGTGGCTGAAGTAGAAGAAGAAGAAGAAGAAGAAGAAGAACAGGAACATATACATATATAAAATAATTTTTGTCTTTGGAGCCCACTCACATGTTATGTGTAGGTAATCTCCTTTATTACTGCGGCAACTTTTTGTGTGTCTGTGTGTGTGTGTGTGTGTGTGAGCGACATAAAACAGGATTTTGGGGGCAGAGATTTTGTGGCGAGGTGGGCGTGGCAGTTAGAACTTTTGCATAACGCAATGCAAGAGAGCGGCACAAACTGTGAGCATTACGTAAATGTTTATTTTACGAAAATAGAGAGAACGTTAGAGAGCGAGACAGAGACAGCGATAGTGAGAGAAAAGCC